GCTGCTGAAGAGTTGTGCCTCCTGCTCGGCCAAGTCTTCCAGATTGTGTACACGGAGTCAACGATTGACTTTCTGGACAGAGCCATATTCGATGGAGCCTCGACACCCACCCACCACCTGTCATTTCACAGCGGTAGGTGGGCTGGAGGGCAGGCAGAGTTGGAACACAGCAGTGCTGCTCTGCTGTCCAGGGGCTCTAGCTGGCGCTGGGTCCAGGCTTCAGTGCTCACATTAACCTAAGGGCTTAGGACAGACATGTCCCCATGTAGGCCAGCCTGGCGGCTTCCTACATAGCTTTGGGTCCCAGAACATGTTCTGGAGCCACATACAGCTAGAGGCACCTCACCTAACTCAGGGCAGAGGACCGTGCAGGCTCTATGCTAGGGCTGAGAGTTTGGTGGCCTCCCTGCCAGAACCCCCACTTGCTCTCTGAGAGGGCCCCTCCGAGGATTAGGGTGGCCCGAGGTGGCAACTGGAGGAGGCTGTGCCCTCTGCGTGGACTCAGTGTAGTGTCTTCAGGGATCTGTCAGCATGCACAAGGCACTCCACTTGCACACGGCTCTCAGCTCTTTCGTGCTGGTACCTACTGCCCACCCTCTCACAGCTCACCTGCTGCATGTGGCCTTAGGTCATCTGTCCAGCAGCTCTTGAGTGGCTGCTGAGCACCAGGCCTTTTGTTGCTCCTGGAGTCTCTGTCATCAGCAAGCAGCCATGGAGTCTGGTTGGGTCCAGGCTGGGGGTCAGCCCTCCAGTGCTGGCCCTGGTCCTTGCCCTTACCCACTGCATGACATGGGGCAAGTTGTACAGCATCTCTGATCCAGTCTTCATTTAAATGGGGCAGTGATGTGCCTGCTCAGATCAGAGAAGACAAAATGACAGCCCCATGACGCTGCTGGTGCAAAGCTGACATCCACATGCTGTGCTTCCCTCGTCTTTGGCCATTTGGCCGATGGCCAGGATCAATGCACCACCACTTGGCCTGGGCCTGCACAGGCTGCTTCTCTCTCAAGTGCATGCAGGAGCCCTCTGTGCCAAGACCTCTGTGAGAACCTAGCCACTGGACTCAGCGCCCGTCCCCTGTGTGACAGGAAGCATATTTTCCTCTACAGACGACTCTTCCACCAAAGTGGACCTGAAGGAGCCCTATGAGTCGGAAGCCATCCCCTTGTGAGTGCCCAGCCTGGGTCTCAGCGGTGCACATGGCCCGGCCTCCCCTTGGCCCTGCCCCTGCCCCGCCAGACCCTGCCCCTGCCCCACCTTGCCCTGCACAGGCACCCTTCCCTCTCTCAGATCCTGGTCCCAGCCCAGTCACCAGGCCTGTCTACCTGGCTGGATTCCCCAGGGCGCGGTGGGCGGGCAGGCGGGCAAGGCCAGCGCCCACAGCTGGTGTCCCTGCAGCTCTTTCCGCGAGTGTTCGCTAGCGGGCGGCGTCCTGCCGCTATCCTGCGCGCCGACTGCACCGCACGCCAAGACAGTCAGCGAGAGTGAACTGAGCGCCACGGCTGCCGAGCTGCTGCAGGACTACATGCTCACGGTGCGCCCCCGCTCCGAGGCCCGCCTGCACGCCCAGCCCAGGGCGGTGGCCTCAGCTGGAGAAGCTTCTGGGGCCGAGTGGGGTGCCACTTCCCCGCCAGAAATGGCCCTGGGAGAACGTGGGGGAGGACCACAGTGGCAGAGGGACTGGTTGGCTGGTCGGTGGGCTTTCCCTCTGTTACCGACCTCACGTGGTTTTGCTATTGAAAACTCAGCTGGCTGACCCCCGTGTGTGCCCCTAGGGGGCGTGGCTCTGGGCTCCAGGGCACAATAAACGGGCCCCCGGCAGCCCCGTCGAGGGTCAGTTTAGTGCCGAAGAATGGGGCCTCTCGGGTCTCCAGGGAGGCAGGATGTGGCCCCGTGGGCTGGACTCAGGGGTGGGGCTGGGCAGAGGGCCTGGCTGTCACTGGGTATCACTGCTCACTGCACGTGTCTCGGCAGCTGCGCACCAAGCTGTCCTCGCAGGAGATCCAGCAGTTCGCTGCACTGCTGCACGAGTATCGCGATGGTGCCTCCGTGCACGAGTTTTGCATCAACCTGCGGCAGCTATATGGGGACAGCCGCAAGTTCCTGCTGCTGGGTGAGTCCCTGGGGGGGCCTTCCCAGGGACGGGTGGGGACGCACCCCCCAGGGCACAGGAGAGGATCCTGTGAGCCAGATCAAGAGATACCAGGCTGAGGTGGGGTGAGCAGGAGTTTGCTGGGTGGAAAAGTGGAAGGACCAGTTTGTGCGGAGATGCTGAGGGACCGGCAGGCAGGGCAGTCAGTGCCTGCCACTAACAGCTGGGCAGCAGCCCAGAACTGCTGCCCATGCCTGAGGGCATCGCCAGGGTGCCTTCTCCTTGCTGTCCCTAGAGAACAGGCCTGGGTGACAGCAGAGGATCCTTGGTCCTGAACTCTGCCTCCAACAGTCTATGTAGGGTGGGTTGAACCCTTGTCTCCATACCAGAGCTCTCTGCTCATGGGCAGAATGGGGTGCTGAGTGAGAGGCACGGAAAGAAGGGCGGGAGGCTGGGCTGCAGACCTGCACCCTCCCTGGGGTCAGGTCCACGGGCAGGACTGGGGTCCGGGCTGAGTGTTTCTTTTCATCTTGTTGCCACTTGGGAGGGTTGGGGAGTGGATGGGGCCCCCAGAAGGGCAGCTGGGCTGGGTGCCCTCCAGGCCCTCATCAGCCTGTCTCTGCCCCTCCCTGCTCTCTTCCATTTGTAAACCCACCCTGCCGGGTGTTTATAGGGCACAGGTGTCCCAGGACTGTGCTGTCACTACAGGGAAGGCCGAGGGAGGACACTTACCCACAACAGGACTTTTTAAGGAGTACCCCTTTGGTGTGGGGCTCTGCTCCAGGGCTGGACCTGGCCTTTGGAGTTGATGCTCTCCCTGGCCGGGTAGCTTTGGCATGGGACCTGGGTGTGGGTGTGGGTGCAAGGCTGCTCTGGGCCGTGCCCTCCTGCCTGTGCCTGTAAAGTGGGGCCGCTGTGAGGCTGTGCCGCCCACCACTGTGCTGAGTGGGCTGGGGCTCAAGTGCACCCTGCACCCGTTGTCTGCAGGTCTACGGCCCTTCATCCCTGAGAAGGACAGTCAGCACTTTGAGAACTTCCTGGAGACCATCGGAGTGAAAGACGGCCGGGGCATCATCACTGACAGCTTCGGCCGGTGCCGGCGGGCCCTGAGCTCCACCCCTACCTCCACCTGCACTGGGGAGAGGGCTGTGGGACACACCGATGACCAGTCTGTGCCATCAGAGGGTGACGAATGGGACCGTATGATCTCAGACATCAGCAATGACATTGAGGCCCTGGGCTGCAGCCTGGACCAGGACTCAGCCTGAGGGGGTGGGCGGCCAGGGCAAGTGCCATCTGCTGTGAAGGACACACCCGGGGTGGCCTTGCTGCCTGCATGGGCTCTGCTCCTGGAGGGGTCCTGTCACCTGACCCCAGACAGCTGTCAGTTTTGCACAGGAACACAGACCCTTAAAGAAGTTTACTGCAATGTGAATGATTCACCTCTGCTGCCAGCGTGTTTCTCATCTGGCGGGGAGGGAGCTGGCCATGCAATTTGGCCCGCCTGGGCCCTGTGCTGGGGCTGGGCTCTTTGTGGCCAGGCCCATGTGAGCCTCAGTTGGCCCCTCACCCCAGGCCCCCCATTGGGTGGTTTCCATAGCCATCTATACTGAGTGCAGGTCCACCTGGAGAGCATGTCACCTTGGAGCCCAGGGTCCGATTGTCAGCGAGACCAGCAAGGGCACCGTGTCCAACTCTCAAGACCCTTGGCCTTAGTCTCCCTTGGGCTGGGCCCCATCTGTGCCCTGGGGACATGGGAGGTGGTGGGGGCTGGGCCTGTAGACTGCAGTGCAGGTGTCAGGAGGCGCAGCTCTGGGCTCCCCTCAAGGTAGTGGCTCTGCCCTGTGACACCCTGCTGGTGTGTGCACTGAGTCCTACGCTGAGCAGGATGGGCACTGGGCTTAGGTAGGGGGTGCAGAGCCCTGGGCTGAGGTGCAGCTGTGTGGTAACTGAGCAGGGGAGTCCCTCAGGCTCTCCACTCTAATAAGGGGCGGGGTGGGATGGGATGAAGTGTCTCAGACTTGGCTCTGGCCCAGGCTGTCCAGGAGCTGGTTGTGGGCCCCAGCCAGGCAGCGCTAAGGGAGACCCTTGGTAGATGCCATTTCTGGATGTGTCTGGAAGCATCCAGAATGGATTAAGACAGCCTTAGTTTGGGGCTGGCCCCCTGAGCCCACCCTTGGCCTTAGCCAGCTGCAGCACACCGAGCCCCCTGAAGGATCTGTGAGGGTCAGGGACTGCTTGTTTTGGGCCCACCAGCAAGTGTCCCCTGTGCTGTGGCCCCACACTGCAGGTCCCCCTCCTGTACTGGGTCAGGGTCCCCACTCTGTGGGCCTGGCCACTGGGAAATATAGGAGAGAATGTGGAGATGGGTGAGCTGTGTGGGGCCCAGTGAGGAGCCAGGCTCTTTAGGGGTTGATTGAAATCTGCCTGAGCAAATGCTGCCTCTGTGGCTTCTCTAGCACAGGCCCTGCTGAGGGGCCATCAGGGGAGTTCTGGAAACACTGGTCTCCAGGCACCCAGGCCTAAGGTAGGTGGTGTGATGGCCCATGAGCTCTGGTTATGTCAGATGCCAGGACATGGGGAGGACGCCCACCCTCTGGAAAGATAGGAGAGGACCCTCATGCTCTGGGGACACAGTGACCCCCACCCTCTGTAGACATAGGGAGAATCACCAGGCTCTGGGGAGACAGGAGGACCCCCACCCCCTGGCGACACATGGGACCCACTCTCAGGATATAGATGACCACCTCCCTCAGGGGACAGACAAGGGTGAGATGATCACTACCCTCTGGGGACAAGAGTGGGGTCCACTACACTGAGGTCACGGGAGGAACCCCCACCCCCACCATGCTCAATCCTGATCAGGCAGAGCCTGTTGAGGGTGAAGTAGTGGAGCAGAACAGCGAGGCAGTAGAGGCACCCATTTACTGAGCAGCAGAGCTGGGGGCAGGACACAGCGGGGTGTTGGTCAGCAGCTACATTGTCAGCTCCTGCAGGAAAAGAAAAGCGTGGGTCAGGCTGGAGAGGGAGTGTCGGCAGCAGGCATACGTGCATAGTTGCTCACCATGATGGCATTGACGATGTCGCTCTGGTTCTCTCTCAGGGCACGTACAGCCTTGGCCCTGGACACGTTGGCCTGTGCCATCACTAGCTCAATGTCACGCAGCTCCAGTCCTGCCTCATCCACCTGGGGGGCAGCAGGGAGGTGCTGAGCTGACCTCTCCCCCAGGCCCCCCCAGATGCAGGCTCAATGCCCGGCCTCACCTCCTCATCGTCCTCCTCACACTCTGGCCTCACCTGCGGCCCTGGTGCTGACTCGGGCACCAGGGCTGCGGGCTCCGCGGGCACCTTGAACTTCTCAGCTGCGGCTCTGTGCACCTGCTGGGACAGGTCCTCGACCTGCGCACAGGGCCAGCTGTCAGCTGGCTGCACCCAGGCCCCCACCCCTCCCCCACCCGCGGCTGCTCAGACCTTAGCCTCCCCAAAGACCACGTAGGTGTCTGAGGCCGGGCTCTTGAAGACGTCAGGCTTGGCAATGACAAAGAGGATGTTTTTGGACTTCTGAATGGTGATCCTGGTGACCCCCTGGATCTGCCGCAGGCCCAGCTTGGACATTGCCTGGGGGCACAGTGGGCTCAGACCTGGGCTCCTAGGGGCCCAGTTGAGGGTGGAGGGGGTGAAGTAGGCCCAGGGGGAGGCAGAAATGCCAGGGATCAGGCTCTGCCACTGACTCCTGGGCACCCCTGTGGCCCCTGCATGCCGCAGGGTGAGTGGCTTGGGCTAGGAGCACCCTCTCTGCTGACACTTTGGCCCTGGTGATTTCACAAGAGAGCACCCAGTAGCGGAGGCCTCCCCCACACCCCGGGAGTCAGTTCTGAGATTGAGGGTCCCTGTGCAGCCGGCCACAGCCCACCTTTCGGGCCTTCTTCTCGCTGCGGCTCTGCTTGGCTTTGGAGCTGGTCTCCTCACTGCCTCCACCTGCAGGGGCCTTGGGAGAGGGGCGGGGTCTGAGTGAGAGCCTGGATGCAGAGACCCAGGGCACCCCCACCCCCTGGCACGGGCACCTGGGCTGGGCACTGCGAAGTCTGCGGCCCTGAGAGCTCCGGCTCCTCTGACTCCCCATGGCTGTCCGAGTGATGGCCGGAGCCTGGAGCCCACAGCGAGCCTGGGGACAGGAGGTGTGAGGCGGCCTCTGCTTTCTGCTGTGCCTTACCCCCTTCCCCCCACCTCCTTTCCCTGGCTCAGGATGTGCTCCAGCCCAGGCCTCCTCACCTTCCTCCAGGCTGTCCTGGTCATCCTGCTGCCCAATGGCTGGGAGACCTTGGGGGCCAGCCGGGCTCTGGGGCCTGGAGCCAGGAGGCACTTGGCCGGGGGGTGAGATCCTCAAGGCCGGGTCTTTGGCATGAATTCCTCCTGTGGGGGCTGCTTTGGGGCTGAGGAGGGCGGCATGGGGCAGGAGGCTGCCCCGCTGCCCTGCCCCAGGGGTGTTTGTGGTTCCTGAGAAGGCAGCCACTGCCAGCTGTGCTCCTGCCTGGGGTGGCAGATGAGCTGGAGAGCTGGGGCACTCCTTGCCTTCCACGGAGTCTTCCTGGGGGCCTTGACAAGGGCGGGGGTGGGGGCCCGTGGGAGGCAGTGCTGCCTTCATGACCCCAGGAGCAGAGGGCCTGTCTGTGGGCATGCTGGGTGGGCCCCCAGTGGGGCCTAATGGGGGCTGTGGCTGAGAGGGACCAAGGATTCCAGGTACTGCCTGGGCCCAATCTGCACTGCCTGGGCCTAGTACAGGTTCCCGCTGCCAGGAGGGTGGTGGAGACATAGGTGCAGGTCCTTTGGGGCAGTGCCCACCTGGCTTGGGCACAGCCCTCGAAGGAAATTCTAAGCAGGAGCCGAGCCCCACCTCTGAGGCCACAGCCACAGGGATCCCTGGCTCTGTGGTGGCCCTCTCTGCTGGGCTCAGAGACTGCACCTGGCCAACCTCAGTGCAAGCAGCAGGACATGCCTCCGGGCTGCTGCTCCAAGGATCCTTCCCAACACCCTGGGGTGCTGACTCGAGATCTCCCTCCCCCTGGCTCTCTGACCCTGGTACCTCCTTTGGGAGTGAGGGGGGCTTAGATCCCAAACCAAGGTTCTCAGGGATATCAGCCAACAGGCCCTCTGCTGCTGCCTCCCTACTGGAGGCAGGATCTGGGGTGTCTGGGGCCTCCATGGTAGGACCTGAGGTGTCCAGGGCCTCTGTGGCAGGATCCGGGATGTCCAGGGCCTCCCTGGGAAAATCTGGGGTGTCTGGGGCCTCCGTGGTAGAATCTGGTGTATCTGGGGCCTCCATTGTAAGATCTGGGGTGTCCAGGGCCTCTGTGGCAGCCTTTAGGGTGTCCAGGGCCTCCCTGATAGAATCCAGGGTGTCCGGGGCCTCTGTGGCAGAATCTAGTGTGTCTGAGACCTCCGTGCCTGGCTCAGGGTTGTCCAGGTCCTCTGAGGCAGGATCTGGGATGTCTGGAGCATTCCTCGTAGAACCTGGGGTTTCCAGGGCCTCTGTGGCAGGATCCGCGGTGTCCGGGGCCTTCCTGGTAGAACCTGGGGTTTCCAGAGTCCCTGTAGCAGGCTTTGGGGTGTCTAGGGCCTCCCTGGTAGAATCCATAGTGTCTGGAGTCTCTGAGGCGGGATCTCGGGAGTCTGGGACCTCTGTGGCAGGATCTTGGGTGTCCAAGACCTCCCTGGTAGGATCTGGGGGATCCAGGGACTCCGAGGCATGCTTTGGGATATCCGGGACCTTTGAGGCAGAATGCAGGTTGTCTGGGGCTTCCGAGCAAGGCCTGGGGTTATCTGGTGTCTCTGAGGCAGGATCTGGGATGTCTGGGGCCTCCCTGGCAAGCTCAGGAGTGTTTGGAGTCTCTGAGGCAGGATCCAGGGTGTCCTGTGCTTCCAAGGCAGGGTCGGGGGTGTCCGGGGCTTCTGAGGCAGGCTCGGCGGTGTCTCGGTCCTCCGAGGCAGTTCTGGGGGGGCCCACATCTTTCCATGAGGTCCATGGTGTTTCAGTGTCTGCAGCTGGTTCTAGGACACCCTGTGGGGCCTGGTCCTGGCCTTCAGTGGTGCTCGCATCCCTCTTGTCAGACACTGGCCTCAGTCCCCAAGCTTCACCTCCTTCTTGCTGGGCCATGGCAGCCATGGCCTCTGTTCCTGGGCCACAGCCAGTGTCTGTCTGCAGGGCCTTGGGGCTGGCTGCAGCAGCAGGTCCCTGGCCTGAGAGGAGGCCTGCATCCTGCAGGGGCAGATGTATGGCCAAAGAGACAGGATCCTGGGGTAAGGTGGGGTCCCCTTCTCCCAGTTGGTGCTCAGAGCTGGCCACAGCAGCAGGTCCCTGGGCAGCTTCCTCCTCAAGGGTCTGCAAAGAGTTTGGACTTGGCAAGAGGTCCTCCTCTTCCTGGGCAGTCCAAGGCTCTGGACCTAAGCTGGTGCTGTTTCCCTCCTGTAGAGGCTGAGGTGTGGCCAAGGTGACAGGTGCTGGTTCTGCGGGAGAGCCTGCTTCATCCCCCTGGGCCTTCAGGGTCACCCCAGTGAGGCCTGGGTCTTCTTGCCGGGTGTGAGGGGCCCTAGTGGCAGCAGATGCCAGGCCTGCAGAGGGGCCGGTGCCTGTCATTTCCGCCATAGGCTCCTGGCCCTGGGTGCAGAGGCCAGCCTCTCCCTTGGAGCCCCTGGTAGCCAGCTGTAGGCCCCAGGATGTGGGTTCGCCAGGGCTGTCCTGGAGCAGGATGATGTGCTGTGCATGGGGCTCCCCGCTGTACAGCCTCTCGTCGTCCGCCCCCGTGTAGGAGGCAGAGTCAAGGTCAGAGGAGGCCGCAGAGATGTCGTCCTGGAAGGCAAAGGCCTCATCCACGCTCTCAGAGATGGAGAGGTCGGATAATGACTGCAGGGAGGAGGCGAAGGTGCTGTCGTCCTCACCTGTCCCGGCCACATCTGCTCCCGGGGAGGGTGCCTCCTGCTCTGCCTCCTGCTCCGCAGGCAGGGGCACCACCTCCACCGCTTCCACCTGGAAGATCAGGCTGCCCCGGAAGGGCAGGAGGGAGGCAGGCATCATTGGCTCGTTGGCCAGGAAGTCCAGCTCAAAGAAGTGGCCTTCCTGGCCCAGGGAAGAGCTGCTGTCCACGGAGAGGCTGGACTCTGGGGATGGGGGAACTGGGGACCCAGCAGGGTGCAGCTCCTGCTCATCCACCAGGGACCCTGGGGGGGAGAAGCTCCAGCCTGAGGGAGTGTCCAGTGCTTCTGCCAGGGCCAGCAGGCTCAGGGAGCAGGATGGGGACGAGGCCCAGCTGTCCCCATCTGCCGTGACATAGGAGCCTGAGAGTGATGCAGGTGGCGACTCCCCCTGCTCAGCCTGGGCACCCTGGGTGCCCCTGTGGGGCCCGTGGCTGGGGAGCAGGGCAAAGGCGGTTTCAGTGGGGGTGGAGGGAGGTGTGAAGTAGGAATCAGGGTCCAGGGCAAGGCAAGGCACAGGAGGGTCACCCTGAGAACACAACTCAAGGGGTGGGTTCAGGCTGGCATGCCCACCCTCCCTATTCCTGGACTCTGGTAGAGCTGCGCTGGGTGGTGGTGCCCAGTGTGTCTCCTCACCCATCACAACCCGGGGCTCCAGTGGGGCTGGCTGAGTGCCCCCTGTGGGCTGAACCTCAGGGGACCCTGGGCTGGGGCTGCCCTCCTCTGGGGCCGCCCAGGCCAAGGTGGTGTGGCCCCGCCCTGCATCCCAGCTAGCTCCCTCAGGTGGGGGCCGGGCACTTGGCTTGCTGGGCAGGAATGTGAGGGCCAGGGTGCTGGACCCCCGGATCAGGGCACAGTGCTCCCGCGGGTTCCCTCTTGGAGTGGTGGTCTCAGCTGCATTACAGGACAGATCTATGGAAAGAAAAAGGCAGGCATCTGCCCTGAAGTGGCTTGGGGGTAGCTGAGCACGGTGGGGACCCACGAGAGTGAGTGTCAGCTGGAAGGGCAGAGGGCAAGGGGAAGGGAGTTAGTTGCCTGTCTGGAGGAGCAGTCCCAGAGCTTGCAGCATGGGGAGTGGCTGTGGGCACAAAAGGGCACTGTCTCTTGGACTGCACATGTGCCAACCTCTCGCCACCTGGCACATCAGAGGGCCCAGGAATAGGGGCCTGCATGCTGCCCCTGCTGTGAGCTGGTCCTGCCTCCCTGCTGCCTCTTGCTGCCACACCTGAAGCCAGTCTGTCAGGGTCTCACGGGGCTCTGCCTGCTCTTGGTCCCAGGGCTGGCACAGGGAGGAGGGGAAAGCAGGGGCCATGCAGGCATGTTCTCAGGCGGGGTGTTCCCACGGGTGAGCTGGGGCATCAGGCCAGGGGAGAGTGCTGGTCCCTTGATGATAGCTGTCCAAAGAGGGGGCTCCACCCTGCCCTACTGGTGGCTGAGGGGAGCTGTGGGCTCTGGGGGCGGTGGGACCACCCAGCCAAGTCTTTCCACAGTGGCAGCTGCCGCATGTTGCTAGCCCCTTCTGCCAGGAACATGCGAGTGGGTCCCTTGGCAGTGCCCAGGGCGGCCCAAGCCCTGGCTGCATTCTCTGGGGGTTCCTGCTCTGCCATGCTCCTGTGACCACACACAAGGACATGAGCTTTCTGTCTGTAAAGTGGTTTGCCAGGATTAGAGCTGAAGCTTAGAGGGTGGCTCCCTCCCCAGGCTGCCCCACCTGCCTGAAAAAGAGCCCCAGACCTTGGGCCAGAGGGTCCTAAGAAGGGGGACCTTTGGGTCCACTGGAGGTGGGTGTGGCAGGGGTGTCTGGGTACCAGAGACTGGGCTCTTGGCACTGAGCCTGGCACGCTACCCCTGTGCACTCATATTGGACTTTGGGGCCCTGGGGCAGGGGGAGGGCAGAACTCAGTTAAGGGGGTTGTGGAAGAGAAGCCAAAGGTCAAAGGTTTTGGGGACTCATTTAAGGTCATCAGGCAGTCCAAGCAGAGCCAGCCCAAGACCCTGGGTTTGGGGAGTTCCAGCCTCCCCCTACCCCTTTACTGGACCTCAGAAGGAGGCCAGGACCCTGGACCCAGCACTGTTTCCACCCCCAGGTGACACTTCACCCACTGCAAGGTGCCTTTGGCCCTCCAGCAGCCACACATGGCTGGCCTCTGGGTGGGTCTTCCTGGCTGGTCTTCCAGGCCTAGGCAGATCCCCTTGGCCCCCACCAACACTGCTGGCCCAGCCTCTCCAAGGACAAGGGCCTGCCCTCCAGAGGGTGCACCCCCAGGGCATCCCACCTTCTAGACCAGCTGCCCACCCCTCTGGCTTCCCTGGCCTCAGGCTCCAGTCCTGCCCAATGAGGACCGGTTGCTGGCCCTGAGGTGGCCTCAGGCATTTGGGCACAGGCTTCCCCAGTAGCTGGGGGGCAATTGAGAACCTGCCGCATCCGGTCCACAGCTGCTCAGGCCCGAGGCTCCAGGCAGACAATGGCGCTTGGCAGCTGAGCGGCGGGCCGGGCCGGTAGCGCAAGGCGCCACCCAGCCCAGGCGGTTCGCAGGCCCTCCTGTCGCGTCTGGCTCTGCAGGACACCCCTGCCCCGCCCGCCGTTGCCCGAAGTCCGGTGTGGGGGCCGGCCCGGGGTCAGGATCCAGGTGCGCGGAAGGACAGGGTGCCGAGAGTCCCGGGAAGGGGAGGAGGCAGGCTGGGGCGTGGCGGTGAGGTAGGGAGCGGGGAGGAGGGCGACAGCGGGGAAAGCGAGGGCACCGGTGCGGAGACGCGCTTAGACGGGGTCGCGCCTCCTTACCTGTGCGGGGTCCCGGCCCACCGGCCTCCAGCAACAGCAGGTCAGCGCTGGTAGCCTCCCCCGGCATGGCCTGGCCTTGCGTGCGTCCCCCGGAGCCCGGTCCGACCACACGCCTGTCTCGCCAAGCCTGCGAGGCCACCGCCCCTCGGCCGCGGGGGTGGGGGTCATTGGACGTGTCGGCCCCGCCCCGCCGGCCTGGCCCCCCGAGTGAGCGTGCGCCGGCGCACCAGGCCCTGCGGAGCTCGGAGTGGGGCGGGCGGCCTCCCTCCCCACAGGCAGTGCTCTCATCCGGCGCTGCGCGGCCCCGCCTTTGCGCAGCATCCCATGCCTTATCGGGAGGGGCGTTTGGGGCCTGTCGGAGGCCGGGCGGACCCCAGGGGCATCTCCCCTTAGCCGGTTGGGAAGAGGCGGGAATGGTTAGACCTCGGGGTGAGGGGCCGGGAGCTTTGGGGGAGGAGGCGCCGCACTCCCATGGCTGGCCTCCTGGCCCCCAGCTGCTGGGGCTCTCCGGCCGACATGGTGTCTCCATCCGAGAGGTGAGCAGGTGCCGCAGCCCCGAGCTGATTGGTCAGTCTTCCGGTTTCCCTGGCAACCGCCTCCCGGCACCATGGCAACTGGAGGCCCGGAGCCTGCACGGCAGGAGCGCAGCGGAAGGCCGCCCCAGGGAGCCCTGCGAGCGGGTTCCGGGCTTCCCACAGCGCGGCGCCTTCCCCTAGCGCTCCGGAGGGCGGGCAGAGGGAGAAACACGCCTCCGCGCCCGCAGCATCCGCCCTGCCATACCCTCAAGGATGCAGCAGACCCAGTCCCCTGGGTTGCACCCTGGCTTCCACACAGCCCCCGCGATCAGGTTTGCGGAGCGCCCGCCCTGTGCCAGGCTCCGAGAGACACACGGACATTGTGACCACCCTGAAGTCGACGGGGCCAGGGCAGGCAATCACAACAGCCACTGGTGGGGCTCTCTCCCTAACCTCAGTCTTCTGCTGGCTCTGCAAGAGCCCACGGAGCGGGGTGCAGCACAATGCGCCTCCAGAGTCAGGCCTCCAGAGTCAGGCCACACAGCCGGCTGCCTGTTGGGCACGGCTGTGGCGCCAGATCCCCCATGCCCAGCTGAAGCCCCGTGTCCTGCATGCCCCTCAGTGGGGGCATGTGGCCATCTGCCTCCCTTCCCTCCCCACACCAGCCTCTTCCCTCACCTCCTGAGCCCTTCTCCTGTTGCCTTAGCTGAGTCCTCCCCGGCTCCCAGTCCTGTCAACAGCGTACAATCTGGCCAACACCCTGACTTTTCAGAAACCAAAGCCCTTAAGCAGGGAGTAAGGGGTCCCCAGACCCAGCAAAATGGCACAGGTTTGTGGGTCTGTTTCTCCCGATTAATCTGACGATGATGCAGGAAATAAGAGACCATACAAACAGAACTTTCAAAGGTGAAAAGAGGAAACTGAGCTGGCAAGGGGCCCCAGGCCTGGGGGAGCAGCATAGCAGCCCACCCAGCAGAAGGGGCACCAGGCCCAGCACTGCCTGACTCGCAGCCTACTGAGACAGAGACCATGGGTGTAGTCAGAGTAGGGTGAGGGCCTCTGGGAAAAGCAGAGCGGAATGTTTACAGTGAGAGCAATGTAACAACGGGCAAAGAAGTCCCCATCGAAACTGTTAAGCATTATGCAAAGTCAAGGTCACACTAATTCTCTACGGAATGATACCTAAGAATATAGACGTCTTCAGTCAGATCAGTTAAAGGTCAAAAGGCCAGGAGCAACTTGGCCTGGTATGTTGAGTGTTCTGCAAGGGTATCAGCATAAACCGTGACCCCGCTGTCACCCCTAGCAATCAGGCTATGACCCAGCCCACCTTGACAGGGCAGGTGATGCAAGTCCACACCCCTAAGTTTTTTTCATGTTCTCGAAAAATCCTCAACTGCCTATAAAACCCCCTAGACAACACACCACTACAGGCTCTCTTGTCCCTTCCTGGCGTGAGCCAGGAGCTCTATTCTCTCACTTTATTTCTAAATAAAAGCCTGGACCTTGCTCTCCTACCTTGAGTATTTGTGAAGCTCATTCTCCGGCATCACTACCAGGAGTATCAGGGAGGTGTATTCATCCCAGTGTGAAACTGGGGTCCTGCTGTCAACTCTAAGGGAGCTGGCAGGATGATCAAGGGGAGGCTTCCCAATAAGGAGCCAAGGAAAAGCCACCCCTTTCCCCCCAGGCCCAAGCCCCCCTTTCCCATCCCACCCAGAGGCTTTCGGGTATGGGGTGGGAGCACTGGCAGGGGACATTCAGCCCAGGAAGCACTCTCTTCCCAGGGGCCGGATACCCACCTCCCCACCCAGAGGCACAGGGTGGCCAGGCAGGGAAGCCTTCCATCCCTGCAGTGCCCCAGCGGCACGAGGCCAAAATAATGCCACAAGTCCTCTGAACCATGATGCTGTCCCTGGGAGCCACGGCCACAAAACGCAGTCTCTGCACACCAAGCACCGACAGGATGACTGCCTGCTAAAGATCCGAACATGATGGCCTAACTGTCCACGACACCCGAACACAAAGCGAACAAAAGACCTGTCCATCATAGCAGGAAAATCAGGGAGGAGCCCAAGAACCAGGAAAATCACAACTAGAATGAAAAAAGGCAACTGACTGGTGCCGGCACTGAGGGCAAGATGCTGGGACCATCTGGCAAGGAGTTTAAAACGGCCATATTACAAGTGGTTCAACAACTAATAACAAATTATCTTGAAACAAATGGAAAATCTCAGCAAATTGACATTATAAGAAAGAAGCAAAGGAAATCAGAACAATGTAGGAAAATCGCTGAAATGAAAACCTTGGGGGATGGGCTTGTGAGTACATGGAAATGACAGAGGCTTGTCAGTGAGACTGAGGACAGGCCAACAGAAATGGCTTACCTGAATAACAGGAAGAAAACACATTGAGAAATGAACAGAGGCTCCAGAGCCTGGGGAGAGTAACAGAAGATCCCCCATTCATAGAACCAGAGTCCCAGAAAGAGAGCAGGAGAGAGGACCTGAAAAAGCAATGATGGCTGAAATTTCTTAGGTAAAAGTTAGAAAATTACAGATTCAAGTGACTGCACAGGCCTCACATAGGAAACACCCAAAGAAATCCACATCAAGATGTATTACAATTTAACTCCTGAGCACTAGAGATAAAATTGTGAAAGCAGCCAGAGAGAAATGACACAATACCTATAGGGGACATGGATCAAAATGACAGTGAGCATCCCATCTGAAACTACAGAGGTCAGAAGGAAGTGGCACAATGTTTTTTAAGTCTTGAAGGACAAGACAGTCTCATCCAAGAATAAAGGAGAATACATTTTTAGATGAAAGAAAACCAAAGGAATTTATCACTAGCAGACCTGCCCTAAAGACTGGCTAAAGGAGGGACTTTAAGACAAAAGGATATGACAGAGGCATCTTGGAGCACGAGGGAGGAAGGAAACACAGGAAGAGCAGAAATAGGAGTCAATCCAGTGGGCAATCCCCTGCTTCTTGAATTTTCTAAAGTATATATGATGACTGGAACAAACAATGAGCATGCCATCTGATGCCCAAGACATGTAGAAGCAGGGAAGGCCAGGGGATGGAAATGGACACAGAGTGCACACGTGACTCAAGAGTGGTGAGCCAGCACAGCTCCCAGCAGGCTGACAGGCTGTGGGTGTGTGCCTTGCCACCCAGAACCACCACTGAGGAACGTGTGAAGGGATACACCCAAAACCTCTGTAAATAAATCATGACAGAGTCTTTACAGTCTTCACATGATCTGGAGGAGAGCAAGAGAAACAAAGGAAGAAGGAACACGTAAACCGGAAGACAGATAACAAAATGACAGGCCTCCACCTTAACATGCATGAATGGGCTGACCACACAAATTACATGAAGTACATTAAAATGTAAATACAAAAATTAGGAGGTAAAATTGGTAAACTGGTTAAAAAAGCAAGACTGAACTATATGCTGTTTATAAGCAACTTCATTTCAATTCGATGACACAGGTAAACTGAAAGTAAAATGACAGTAAAAGATAAGCCAGGCAAGTATTAAAACAAAACAAAACAAAACAAAAGCAAGAGTGGCTGTTGAAAGGAAAGGACCGACACAACGCAGCAATTCACCGGAGAATTCCGCTTTATTAGGGAAAGGTGCTGGGTTATATAGGAAGGGGCATGGGTGATTGTGGTGTTACTTCTACGGGGCTGGTGGCTGTTGGCTAGGTGCTGGGATTGGGAGGGGGGCGAGAGGTGATTGGGCTTCAAGTGGCGCCGGTGAGAACCGAGGACTCCGAAGAGAAACCGGAAGTTTGTCATCTTACTGATGGGGGCCCTTCATTCCCCCCTTTCTCCTCTATGGGGTTGTGGACGTTGCTTTCTCTCTGACTGCTTCTTGCTGAATGGGGGCAGAGAAGGGAGTGAGGTCTTGAGGATTGGGAGGAAAGGGTTGATAGGACTCCCCACAGTAAGGATGAGTAGATGTGGACTTCTTCAGGTTGGAAATCAATGAAGGTTCCCTGTAATTATAGGTTGAGGACTTGTTGATTCTAATGGTGCCAAGAGGACACGGATACCAGGAGCCAGGCGTCTGCGGCCACTGTTTCTAGGAAGTTTCCAGCGGAGAGAGGGGTCCATCTCAGCATGTGGTGAGGAGGTCACGTGAGGGTGAGGGATCTTCTGTGGCTGGAAGCTGGTAGTTCTTGAGTAAAAGCTGGTTGAAAGTTTGATTAGAGGTTTTTCTGACTTGGGATTTGATGAACTTTATTATACAGGGTAAGAAGAGACAGGTGAGAAGAATGATTATTATGGGACTTGCAATGGGCCAGACCCAGGAAAGGAGGGAGTTTGTTAGTATTGAAGAGAATGGGTTGGAATTGGAAGCAGAGTGGAGGCTGGAGGCAAGGTCGGTGAGTTTGGTGATGTCAGTTTCTACAATGCCGGATTCGTTGATGTAATAGCAGCACTCTTCCCAGAGGAAGATGAAGGAGCTGCCCTTCTCGGCTGTAAGCAGATCTAAGGCCCGCTGGTTTTGAAGGGTGACTTTAGCTAGCGAAGTGACTTGTCTTTGGAGAGAGACTAGGGAATCGGCAGTGGATGTCAGGGCTCCCTCAAGTTTGGCGTTGAGATCTCTAACTGCCCATAGAGAGTGACCCAAGGCTCCTCCCAAAAACTCTGCCCCAATGGCTGAGGTGGTCAAAGAGATACCAACTATGATGGGAAGGAAAGCAGCCCTTTCTGTGCGCGAGGGCAAGGGAGGTTGGAGCTCAAGAAATTCTGCCATGCTGCAAAGTGTAAGCTGTGGGATTAGAGTGACGAGAATGCAGGGTGTATCGGAGTTGGGAGGCAGTGAGTTGAAAAGACTACCATTACACTAAAAGAAGTATCTCGGTTGCGTAAAAGTCTTAGAGCTAGAGGTAGGGGTGTAGATAGAGAGGCAGTGAAGTGAGCTGGAGGGGGGTGGAGTTGGGCCTACACAGTGGTGGATGGTGAGATTACTTGCGTATTCTGGTTCCCATAGGGGTATGTCTGCCAGGGGGCAGAGGGGTTGTCTTTCTGCATGGAAGGAGTAGTTGGAAATATTAAGGGGCACGGTGGCCAGCAGTGGGCGCTGTAGTGATGCACACAAGAAACAATTGGCTGTGTTAAGGGTGTGGTTGAGAAAGATGGTGGTGTCCTGAATGAGCTGTAATGAAGAGTAGGAGAAATGGGAAGAGGGGCGGGGATAAGAAGATGAAGAGGCGCCGTCAAGAGTTTGGATAATGACTTTTTCGGAATGTCTGCTATCTGATGCAACTTGAGAGATCTGGGAATGAGAGGGAACATACTCTCGAGGGATATGAAGGGCACCATGGGGTGTCGAGGACCCCCCATAGT